AAGCATATATACATACACTTATATATACTCACAGATAAAAGCACACATGTATACACATACACACACACATACACACATCTATATATATACACACTTACCTTTACACATGTACACACACACACACACACACACACACACATATTTCCCCTGAACATGAACTCTTCAAAAGGAAGGTCCTCATGACCTTCACCCCTAAACACTTTAGCGTGCGTCTCTTATGTCTCTTAAGAATAAGGACATTCTCGGGGTGCCTGGGTGGCTCAGTGGGTTAAGCCTCTGCCTTCAACTCGGGTCATGGTCTCAGGGTCCTGGGATTGAACCCCGAGTCGGGCTCTCTGCTCAGCGGGGATCCCCCTCTCTCTCTGCCTACTTGTGACCTCTGTCAAATAAATAAATAAAATCTTAAAAAAAAAAAAACGAATAAGGACATTCTCCTACATCTTCTTAAAGTCTTTATTCCGCCTAAGATCAACAATAAAGCCCTAATATCATTTAATATTTAAATTTCCCCATCTCTCCCCAAATTGTCTTTTGTAGCAGTTGTTCCAAAACTAGGATTCCCAAAGTCCACATATTGGGTTGTGATGTCTCTTAAATCTCTTTAACCTTAAATGTCCCTATTCACTTTTTTTTTTTAAACAACGTTGACTTTTTGTTGATCCCAGGATAGTAATCTTGTAGAGGCACTGGAAGGACCCACCTTCCGGAGATGTCTGTCTTCTCATGGGGTCATTCATCTTTTCCTAGCCTCTGTATTTCTTACAGACTGGAAGTTAGGATTAGAAGCTTGATTAGATTCTGGGTAACAAGTTTTCCTCCTTTTTTATTTTATTTTATTTATTTGATAGAGGGAGAGAGAGAGCAAGTACACAAGCAGGAGGGAGAGAGAGAAGCAGACTTCTTGCTGAGCAGGGAGCCTGATTCAGGGCTCGATCCCAACACCTTGGGATCATGACCTGAGCCGAAGGCAGATGCCCAACCGGCTGAGCCACCTAGGTGCCCCCCCCCTTTTTTAGGACTTTAATTTTTTTAGAGCAGCTTTAAGTTCATGGCAAAATTAAAAGGAAGCTACAGAGAATTTCCTTGTACCTTCTGCCCTCACCTGTGCACAGCCTCCCGCATTATCAACATCCCCAGCCAGAGTGGTCCGTTTGTTACAACTGGTCAACACACACACACACACACACACACACACACACACACCCTTATCACATTGTTTACCTTACAGTTTCCTCTTGGCTTTGTATTTTTCTATAGGTTTGGAGAAAAACACGCTAATGACACGTATCCCTCATTGTGGTATCACACAGAGTATTTCCACGGCCCTAAAAGTCCTCTGTGCTCTGCCCATTCATCTCTCCCTCCCCCTAACCCCTGGCAACCACCGAGCTTCTTACTGTGTCCATAGTTTTGTCTTTTCCAGAATGTCACAGAGTTGGAATCCTACGATATACGGCCTTTTCAGATTGGCTTCTTTCCCTTAGTCATATTTAAGTAAATGGAAGATTCCTCCATGGCTGTTCATGGCTTGATAACTCACTCACTATAACTCATTTCATTTTTAGCACTGAAGAATATTCCATTGTCTCGATAGGCCACAGTTGATCTATCCCCCTACTGAAGGACATCTTGGTTACTTCTAAGTTGTGGCATTTATGAAAATGAATGTAGGCTTTTGTGTGGACATAAATAACTTCTTTGGGGACATGCCAAGGAGCGTGATCACTGGATCCCATGCTAGGAGTATGTTTCGTTTTGTAAGAAACTGCCAAACTGCAGTCCAGAGTGGCTGGACCATTTGGCATCTGCACAACAGTGGACTGGGGTTCTCGGTCCTCACCCTTGCCAGCATCTGGTGCCGTCAGTGTTCCAGATTTTGGCCGTTCCAATGGGTGTGTCATGATACCTCACTGTTGTTTTAATTTGCATTTCCCTGATGACATACAATGTGGAGTATCTTTCCATATACTTTTGTTTTCTTTCTTCTTTTTTTAAATGTATGTTTGTATGTGATCTCACATGCATACATACATACATATGTATGTCTTTCACAACCCCGAGATCACACTCCTCCAACTGAGCCATTCTTTTTTTTAACTGATAAAATATATACAACATCAAATTAACCATTTTTAACCATTTTTTATGGTTATTTGATGGTTTTTGATGGTTGTGCGGCATTAATTATATTCAGGTGGTTGTGCCCCATCACCACCAACCATCTCCAGAACTTTTCCATCTTCCCAGTCTGAAACTCTGGGCTCATTAAACACTAACCAACCATTCCCTCCTCCTTCCAGCACCTGGCAACCATCCTTCTACTCTCTGTCTCTATGAATTTGATGACTAGGAACCTCACAGAAGTGGAATCACACAGTGACAGTCACACAGTGACTGGCTTTGGGTAACGCTCCTTGACGTGAGGTCTTCCCAGGGGGTGCTGTGTACTACTTTGCCTCTCCTTCAGCTGCCTCCTGCTCCCCCACCCTTTCTGCCCCCGCTGCTCTGCCCTCTGGCAGGGCCTTATTTATTTATTTATTTATTTATTTATATTTACCTATTTATTTGAGAGAGCGTGCATGGTGCACAAGCCTGTGAGCGGGAGAAGGGCAGAGGGAGAGGGAGAGGGAGAGAGAGAATCCTCAAGCAGACTCTGTGCTGAGCACTGAGCCCGACATGGGGCTTGATCTCATGACCCATGATATCATGACATATGAGCCGAAATCAAGAGTCAGACGCCCTGGTGGCTGAGCCACCCAGGTGCCCCTAGCCCTTCGAGGGCCTTCGCACTTGCCTTTTCCTCCCTGGCAGGCTCCTTGGTATCTTGTGTGTTTCAGCTCCTCCCAGAGGCCTTTACTGACCAACCACAGCTGCTTCCCTATCGTCACAGTCTCCTTTCCTCCGTTTGATTTTCTTCACGGCACCCACGATCGCTTGATATTACCCTGTTTGGTATTTGCCTGTTTATCGTCCGTCTCCAGGGTAAAATCTACGCTAGCAGGGACGCGTTCACTGTCACATCCCAGATCCTGGTACTATCCTTGGCCCATGATGGGGGCTCGTATTAGTTCCTTCCTGCTGCTGTAACACGTGGTCCCAAATGTAGGGACTTCAAATGACACAAACCGACTCTCTTGTGGTTCCGGAAATCAGATGTCCTCAGACGGTTTCAGTGGGACTGAAATCGAGGCATCAACAGAGCTATATTCCTTCTGGAAGTCCCAGAAGAGTGTCTGTTTCCTTGCATTTTCCAGCTTCTAGAGGCTGTCTGCATTCCCGGGTTCATGATCCTACATCTCCCAGACTTCTGCTTCCATCATTCCATCTCCTCTCCTGCTCTGAATCTGATCCACTCTTATAATGACTCCGTGAAGCTGTTGGGCCCACCAGGAGAAACCAGACAACCTCCCTATTTTACAGGGATCATGACCCGAGCCAAAGGCAGAGGCTTTAACCTACAGTGCCACCCAGGCGCACCCTATTTTACAGTCTTTAACTTAAACACATCTGCAAAGTCCCAGTTACCATGTAAGGTCACATATGCACATATTTCAGGAAATAAGACACATTGCGGGCACTGTTATCTTGTCTACCACGGGGCTCAATAAATATTTGTTGAATGAATGATAAATGGATGGGTGGGGCCCTTTGCAAATGGAGTGCTGGTTCCTGAATTTCTAGGCTAGCTCAGTCACTAACTGGTTGTGTGACCTTGGGCAAGTCCCTTTATTCTCTGAGCCTCAGTTTCCTCCGTCGTTTCATGTGTCCTGAGCGCCCACTGGGGACCCCACTCTCAGTAGACACTGGGAATGCCAAGACAGACATAAGCAGACCCTTGTCTTCCAAGAGCATGGAGTTTGGCTTCTGGGAAGGGGTCTGAGAAAGGGAAAACTTGACATCGTCTGCTCTAGGCCATGTTCTAGGTCACCCTGCAGAACTTTCAAGTCCTGAGGGGGTGTGCTTACCTAGTAGGTGACATTTCAAATGGCTCTTAATGCATGAGTAGGAGTTTATGCGGTAGAGAAGTAAAAAGGGCATTGATGCCCAAGGACAGACTACAGAGCTCTTTGAGGAAGTTTGAGGACTGTGGCGTGATCCCTCAGAGGAGGGTGGCCAGTGTGGGAGGGAGCGTGTCTGGGAAGGAGGCCTTGAAGGCCACAGTTAGGGGCTTGGGCTCTGCCCTTGGGTCAAAGGTCACAGCAGGGGTTTGAAGCAGGAGAGAGGCCTGAGCAGCTTTGAATCTGGGCCGCTCCAGCCACCCCAAGAGGGGATTGAGGGCTGAAGCTGGTCTGGGGTTGGGGGTGCCTGGGGTGGAGGTGGCCTGGACTGGGCAGGGACCATGGGGCTGGAAGGGAGGGGACAGATTCAAGAGAAATGTAGGAAGTAGTAAGTGGGATATGGTGAGAGATCGAGAAGGGGGTGGATGAGGAAGAGACCGGAGACAGCTGGGAAGGAAGAACAGGCAGGAGGGAAATGTGTGGAAGCTCTTTGCAACTGTTGAGGGGATCATGCATTGGCCCAAATTGGGATTTTGGGAGAGACGGCAGAAGAGGCTGATGCAGGGCGCAGAAACCAGCCCCGTGCATTCTCAGGCCTCTCCTTCTGAGGAGAGATCAGTGATGAAGATCATCAAGGCTACAAGGTGAGGGTTTAGGACTGCTCAGCCCCTGCCCACATCCAAACTGCCTTACAAACAACCATGGAGGTAAATAGGTAGGGCTGTGAAACCATCTGCCCCATTTCCAGATGGGCAAACTGATCCTCAAAGACATCCAGTGACATGGGGAAGGCCATCGAGTCAGTGGACCCTGGAGAGCACAGGCCTCTAAACCCAGCTGACGGGGGATTTTGCAAGTCTCTTGAGACTCAGAGGGGCGGGCAGACTGGGGGTCCCCTCTGAGCTATTCCCAGCCACAGAGAATTTCCTTTTATTTGGAGGAAGCGGGAGTTCTTCTTTCATAATGTGAATGTCAGAGATTCTGAGCCCACCGGTGACTAAGAGTGTCTGAAGCTTGTGGGTGTAGCAAGTGTTTAAATACCAGACCTCCCTGTCATCTGGTGATTACAGACACCTGGACTGGGACACAAAGGACAAGAGCATGGCCAGCCTGAAGACTCCACTCCTGGCTGCCCTTGTCTTTTTTGCTCTGACACTTCAAACAACTGAGGCGGGTAAGGCTGGGGAGAGGGAGGACTCCCCGCAGAGGCCAGGATCAGACACTGCGGTCTCTTCCTTAGGAAGCAGAAAGAGCACCAGCCTGAGAGAAAATGACGCCAGTTCACTTCTGGCTCTGGGCTAGTCATGTTGCTTCTCTGGGCCTCAGTTTATGCATCTGTGAAATGTGTAGTCTCAAAGGCTTGGAGTCTAGGATCTGTCTCAGCTGGGTTGGGGGTTTGTGGTGGGCATGTCCTGGGGTCCTCTGGAGACCAGAGAACTCAAGCATAGGACCCTTGGGGTGTGGAGAAGGAGCCACCAAATGGAGCTGTCTGGGATGGGAAAAGGCAGGAGCTGGGGTAAGGGATATTCCCTTGGAAAGCCGGTCCTGCTCTCCTACCACCTCCTGCTTGCTCCAGAGCCTGCCCTCGACACTGAGTCCCTACCTTTTTTTACTCAGGTTTGGGGGTTCCTGGGAACTCTTCCTGCATTAAAGTCCCCATCGATTTGGTACTGTTACCACCCTTCTGTTTGGGGGAGGAGAGTGGGACTTGCCCAGGGTGACCTGGTAACAGGGCAGAGCAAGACTCGAACCCAGGTCTGCACCATTGGACTCTGCCTGAGCCCTTATCCTGACTCACCAGAGTCGTGCTATGTGACTCTGGGTAAGACATCCCCCTCTCTGGGCTTCAGCTTCCCCCACGTACACCTCGAAGGTTAGAGTAGGTGTGAGGTGAAGCGGACCTCTGCCATTGCCTGGGAACTCATCTGACTCAAAATGCACGTCTGACCCAGCGGGGCTGGGGCCGGGCGCCGGGCGTTCCCGACAAGCCCCCAGGTGCTGCTGATGGTGCCGGGGCACCGGCCTCACCTTGAACAGCTGGGCTCCTTCCTGTGCAGAGTCTCGGGTCCCACCTAGAAGCCTAGGGCTTCATTGATTCTCAGTCACTGTAAGTCCCTCTCCCTGGAGCTGACCTACGCAGACTGGGCCCTTCAGAGACCCTGAGCTTGGGGACTTTCAGGGTCCAGAGTCCCCCTGGCACCAACCTTCCACGTAAGAACAGAAGTGCTGGCTCAGAGGTTGGGGCCATGGGTGACCTGCCCAGGCTGGGGAACCTTCTCCTCCAGGTCCTTATGGCGCCAACGTGGAAGACAGCGTCTGTTGCCGGGAGTACTTCCGTCACCCTCTGCCTCTGCGCATGATCAGGTTTTTCTACTGGACTTCAGACTCGTGCCGGAGGCCTGGCGTGGTGTGAGTGTGGAGCTGGGGAGGCAGGGCCTGGCCTTGGAGAGCCCGGCGGGTTTGGCCCAGGAGGGTCCGGGAGAGGTGGGGGGGGACGGGGGACAGACCCAGGGATGGGGGACGTATAATCCGTCCTTGAAATGGCTCAGAAAAGAAATCCTGTGGTCATTCAACAAATCTAATGGGGTGCCTGCCAGGTGCTGGGTGGCGTGCCCGGTCCCGAGGGTACGGATCTGAATGAACCAGGCGCCGGCTGTCTGTCTACATAGCAGAACTTGCGTGGGCCGTGCGGAGCTCTAGCGTGGGGAGCAGCGTGCCGGCAGTGTGCCCAGAGCCTCTGAGTCAGCAGCGATGCTCCTAGCAGAAGCATCTGGAATCCTCGCCAGCACCCTGGGAGTTATCTGAGGCAGCCCATGGCTCCCCAAGGAGTACGGAGCCGACAGAGAGTGTCCCACGGCCAGGCAACCGGGCACGGTTCTGAGCATTCCTGTGTGAACTCAGGTCACCCCATAGCCTTCCTACAAGGCATGCGGTCATCTGCATTTTGCAGATGGAGAAACAGGTGCAGGGAGTTGGGTCGGGGGAGTGATTTGCTCGAGGCTGCCAGGCTCGAATCAGAACTCCTGGGTCCCCCCCCAACTCAGGGTTTTCTCCTGATGTTTTTATTCTCTTTTGCCTTTGTCTCTCCATGTCTTTGCTTCCTTTTCCTTGGCCTGGAGCCTGGGGCCTGCACCTGCCACTGGCCGCATGAGGTGGCCTGTCCCTGGGGCCGCCCCTGCAGGCTGCCACCTGTCAACCCGCTCAGTGGGGTGTCTGGGCCTGGGGCCTCATGACCCCCTTTGGGGCTCCATCATCTTCTCACCTTCCTCCTCCATACTCATCTTCCATCCCTCACAGGGGTCTTTGGGTGAATAACAAAGAGGGCTGAAGTGGGTTTGTGTCACTTCAACGCTGAAACTCAGTTTCCCCATCAGTATAACAGGAGCGATCACATTTATCTATCTATCAATTTGTTTTTTAAGGCTTTTTTTTTTAAAGATTTTTTTATTGGACAGAGAGAGACATAGTGAGAGAGGGAATACAAGCAGGGAGAGAGGGAGAGAAAGAAGCAGGCTCCCTGTTCTGTGGGGATGTGGGGCTTGATCCTAGGACCCTGGGATCACGACCTGAGCTGAAGGCAGAGATGCTTAACAACTGAGCCACCCAGGTGCCCCCACTTTCTTTTTTTTTTAAGGATTTGACTTTTATGTAATCTTTCCACCTAATGTGGGGCTCGAACTCACAAATCCGAGATCAAGAGTCGCACGTTCCACCCACTGAGTCAGCCAGACAGCCCTCCTTCATTTATTTTTATTTATCAAATCTGTAAAGAGTGCTCGCTAAATGCTAGGCACTTACAACCACTTTATAAATTAGAACTCATTTAATCCTTGAAACAACCCTATGTTGTAGGTGCTGTTCTGATCACCTTTTGCCAGGCAAGGCCAGGGGCACAGAGAGGTTATGGAACCTCCTGAGGCACAGGGCATGGTAATAGTAAGTGAAACGTGTAATGCTTGGTCCCTGGCCTAGAAAGATGTTCAGTAAAAGACAGCACACGTGATTATTGGATTTTGAGCCAGAAGGCGCTCTAGAAAGAATGTCCTGACAAATGGGGAGATGGAGTTTCAGAGGGGGGCTGAGTCTTGCCCAGTGTCACACAGCAGCCAGGGCAGGCTGCCCACGTGGCCAACATCAACATTGCTGCCTTCTTTGTTCTTTCTGTTCACTGGTTGTCTGTGGGGTGGGGGCAGGTCTGAGAAGTAGGGGAGCTTGGAGCTTCTAGGCCCCATGGACAGGCTCTTGAGAGGCAGGAAGGGAGTAAGGCTATGGGCATGTCCTTAACCTCTAGCCAGCTTTAAGTCCATTTCTGCCAACAATGGCTGTGAGGGTGGAAGACTTAGCCTGCGATTGCTGTGTGATCTTGGATCAGTGCCTACCTCTCTTCTCTGTGCTTTGGGCTTCTAGGGGGCATAGTGAATCAGATCTTACCAGCTCTGGCACTCGGGCAAGCTGCTTTACCCTCTTGGGCCTCACTTTCCTCACCTATGAAATGGGTAGAATAATAGGGCCCCATAAGATTTATGAAGAAAATCATTGTTAAGAGTTCAGTTCCTCTCCGCTGGGAGCTGCTCTGAGCCCATCAGTTTGTATTAACTTATCTAATCTTCATTCAAGGACCATGATTATCATCCCTATTTTAAAGATGTGGTAACTGAGGGACTTGCCAGCAATGATAGAGCTAGGATTTTAACCCAGATGAGCAGGCTCCAAAGTTCCTCGGTTTCTACCCAATATCCTCTCCCCCAAGGTGATGTGAGCAATGGTTGTGAGACTCCTGGGCATTTTATTCCCTGACCTAACCTGGCACTCAAGCCTGGGGCTGAGGAACTGAGAGTCCGGGAAGTCCTAGCCGCTGTCTCCTCCTCTCCCCGTGAAGAAGTGTGTTTACATACAGCAGGGGCCTCATAAAAGTTGAGATATTCTATGTAGCAAGTACTTCTGCCCGGGGCAGGGCCACATAAATGCTAAGCGACTCTGTATGGTGGGCATCTCTGCATACCGTAAGTGACTCATAAATGCTAAGCTTCCTGAGAAGAGTTGTAGCATCCTTGCTGCGTGCTAATGCTCCCTCATTCCCTCCTCCTTCCAGCTTCCTAACTGTCAAGGACCGGGAGATCTGTGCTGACCCCAGAATGCCCTGGGTGAAAAAGATTCTCCAGAAACTGAGCGCATGAGGAAGGGCCCTGCCCTGAGGACCGTGGCCTTGGCTCCTCCGGGAAGGCTCACAGAGCCCCACATCCCCGCCATCACAGCTGTCCCCCAACACAAGCCCGTGCCAACGAATCTCTCCACCATCTTTTATCTCTGTCCCTGAAGCTGTCACACTCAGACGAGCCTCCACACTGTCCCTCATCCCACCTCTTATGCCTCCAACCCATCCTCTACCCCACCACAGCCAGAGAGGCCACAGTCCTGCTCAGTTACTCCCTGGCTCAAAAACCCTCCCACGGCTCCCCATTGCCCCAGGCTGTAGTGAAAGCTGGGGAGCCTGACACCTGTCTCCAGCCCTGCCTCACTTCCCTTCGCACATGTTGGATCCAGCTCCCTGTTTTCCAAACTCATGCTGTACATATGCTGTCCAGGTCTTTCTCAAGGCTGCTCCCGATGCCCAGAATGTCTTCCCATCACCTGTACCTATCCAACCCTCCCGGCCCTCTGAGGCATTGCACAGCCCAAGCAGCCAGAGATTGAGTTTTGTTTTAGTTTTTGTTTTTTCAGATGTCCCCTGACCCTCTGCCATCTCTTAACAGCCCTGATTGCAGTCTGCCCAGAATTCTCAGGACTTGGGGGCTTGCCCTCCAGCCCCACTGGCTGGACCAAGGTCCCATGCCTGAGTTACTTTGTCTCCTGGCCTCTAACACCGAGTGCAGAGCACAGGGCCTGGCTCTGAATCAGGGCTCAACGAATGGGTATAGACTGAATTAATAAAAGTAATGTTCCTCTCCCAGCTCCCAACTCCCACCTCCCAAAGACCCTCACACATCAATACAGAGACTCAAGTTCATCTAGAAAGCAGCCAGCTGAGTCAATTGGGAAGCCTCAAATTTGCCCAGATTCACTTTTCGTCCCCATTTCAGTTTTGTGTTGGGTCTCTTTACTCTTCTTGTTTTCCTCTAGTCTTGATTGCTCCTTGAACCTCCAATACCCAGGCCTGAACTCTTCAGAGTCCCCCCACTTTCCCTCTCTTTTCCCTAATAACCAGTAACTTAATTTTCACTATGGTGTGAATGACTATACTTGGCTTGGTATTAACAAGCTCTAGCTATATTTCTATAAGAAAAGAGGGCAAATGTTTAAGGGGCCAACTGAATGAATGGAAGAATTTTAGGAACTGTGTGGGAGGGGGACAAGGAGGAGCTTTTCTGGTCCGGGAGTGTGCAGGCATAGTTAAATGGAAGAGTCTTGGGTGAAGATTGTTCTTGGGTGGCAGGGGTCAGCATAAGGACTGGGATTTGGGGTTTATCTGCACTTTTTTGGGGACCACAGATTCACCAGACAAAAGAAAGAAACTTTACACACAACTTGTTTCTTTCTGAGGTGGCCTGGGGCAGTGCAGGAGGGGGTCATTGCTCTGGAATTCTGAGACCGTTGAACCTCTCTGAGCCTCACTTAAAAATGAGAATACCATTCTCTGTGGGGGCTGTGGGGTTAGGTCCAGGACACGGGAAATAAAATGCTAACCTACCCCCGGCCCATGCATAGTGCCCTCCAGCATCCTGGGATTTCCCCTCCCTTCCTGTCCTGACCTTGTCCCTCAGGCCTTCTGAAAAAATAAATCCTCTACAACAGTATCTGCTTGCTTCCTTGGCATTTGCTGGCCTGGTAAGGTGGGGCAGGGGAGCACCGTCACCCCCTCACTCCCAACGGGGAGGCCCTTGATGTTATTGATGTGTAAGCTGGCCTGCCCAAGGTCACCTTGAGAGGCGATGAGGAGCCAGGACTAGACATGAGGACCCGGGGAGTAGCTGTGGAGGTGCCAAACCCCAGACATTTGTCCACCAGGCCAGGCCCCTGCCGAGCCTCTTGTTGGGAGGATCTGATGAAGTCACTCATTCAGTCCCCCAGTCTAGAGCTTTAGGCCGCATATTCATTCATTTATTCATTTGTCGGTCACGGATTCAATAACCCAACCTCAACCCTCCCCCTTGAAGCATCAGCACAGAGGAGGAGGAGAGCGTATTAGTCAGGAAATTCTGCTTCCTACAATAAGTAGTCCCGAATCTCAGTCGTTCATTTCCATAAGAGCTTTTTTCTTCTCCCGTGACATCCGATACTATTTTGTGGGTGACCTTCCATGTGGTCATTCAGGGACCCAGGCTCTTTCCTTCTTATGGCCCCGCCCTCCTCCAGGACTTGGACTCCTCTCCAGGAGGATGAGGCTGGTGGGAGCCAGACTGGGAACGGGGCTCCTGGCTTCTGTCTACCTGCTGTTGGCAGAACTCAGTCACGTGGCCACCCTGGCCCCAAGGGATGCGGGGAAGTACAGCCAAGCCGAGTGTCTGGGAGAAGGAGGGAGTGAGTATGGGGAGCGTTTAGTTCCTGTGGTGCTGATTCCTCTGGACTCTCAAATGGGTCCACTTTCCTGGACTAGACATAGCTCTTTCTGCCAAAACAACAGAAAAGGATTCCTCTGTCCTTGGGAAGTCTTTATTAGGACAATTTAAACATCGCTCCGCAAACATATTTGCATTGGTGACCTTTGCTCCATTTTAGATCTGGCTCTTACGAAGGTATTTCTTTTTTTCTTTTTTAAGGATTTTATTTATTTATTGGGCAGACAGAGATCACAAGCAGGCAAAGAGGCAGGCAGAGAGAGAGAGGAAGGGAAGCAGGCTCCCTGCTGAGCAGAGAGCCCAAGGCAGGGCTTGATACCAGGACCCTGAGATCATGACCTGAGCCGAAGGCAGAGGCTTTAACCCACTGAGCCACCCAGGCACCCCTCTTATGAAGGTATTTCTAAGGCAGTGGCTTCAGACACCAAGAGCACCTGTCTGGGAGGCAGGGACAAGCATCGGGAAGGGCACACATCATGGATTCAGACAATTGCAGGAACTCTCACTGACTGGTGTCTGGAGCAAGCTTGTTGGTCCCCGTGAGCCTCGATCTCTTGCTCCGTGAACAGAGGGCGATAAAAGCAGGTATCCGTGCACGAGGTGGTGAGGATCCAAGCCGATAAGAAAGTACAGACAGCCCACTAACAAAATGGGCAGAGGCTTGAATATGTATTTCTCCAAAGAAGATATTCAAATGGTCAACAAGCACATGTGAAGATGTTCCATATCCCTCATCATCAGGAGAGTGCGAATCAAAACCATTACGGTGTGGGGCACCTGGGTGGCTCAGTGGATTAAGCCACTGCCTTCGGCTCAGGTTGTGGTCTCGGGGTCCTAGGATGGAGCCCCACATCTGCCTCAGCATCCCTGCTGAGCAGGGAGCTGCTTCCCCCTCTCTCTCTGCCTGACTCTCTGCCTACTTGTGATCTCTCTCTCTGTCAAATAAATAAATAAAATCTTAAAAAAAAAAAACATTACGATGTGAAGCTATTCTAAAAAAGACAAAAAAAGTTTTATTTCCCTTAGTCTTTTTTAAAATTATATTTATTTTCATTTAAATTCAATCTATTGGTGTCAGGAGCATGGCTCTTGATCTTGGCTGTAAGTTCAAGCCCCGCGCTAGGTATAGAGATGACTTGAAAATAAAGAAAGACAAGATTGTCAAGGGTTCGGGAAAATGGCAACCTTTGCCTATTGGCGGAGAGAAGGTAAAGTGGGGGCAGTCACTGTGGAAAACAGAACGGCGGTTCCTCAAAAAATTAAGGGTAGAATTACCATGTGACCCCAGAATCTCATTCCTGGGTGTAGACAGGAAAGAATTGAAGGTGGGGACTTAACGAGACATTTGTACATCTGTGTTCACAGCAACATACTCCACGATAACCAAAAGGTGGAAACAACCCGAGTGTCTGACTGGTGAATGGAGAAGCAAAACATGGTGTACACGTACGAAGGAATATTATTCAGCCCTAAAAAGGAAAGAGATGCTGGCACCTGCTTCAATATGGGTGAGCCCTGAGGACGTGATGATTTGTGAACTAAGGTGGTCACAGACAGACAAACACTGTCTGATTCCTAGAATAGGGAAAATCTCAGAGACAGAATGCAGACTGGCAGCTGCCAGGGCTGGGGGAAGGGGGATGTGGCAGTTAATGGTTTGATGGGTCCTGCAGTTCAGTTTGGCAAGATGATAAAGTTCTAAAGACAGTTGGTGGCGATGGTTGCACACGCTGGAATGTACTTCATGTCACTGAACTGAACACTTAGAAATGGTCAAAGAGTAAATTTCATGATACAGATATTTTACCACAGTATAAAAGAAGGTGTGGCCAGGCAGGTGCACGGACAGGGAGGAGGGCCAAGTGCATGTGAGCAGCTCTCCTTATGGACCAAAGAGGTGAGCTGAGCAGAGTGGGGTGAAGCGGGGAAGAATTAGGAAGGATGGTTCCCCCAGGGGTTCTGGGATGAGGTGGCCATCTCACTGGTCACCCTGTCCCTCTTTCCATCCTGGGGCCCCACAGGAGTGTCCTGGGGGCTCTGCCCTGCTCCCCACAGCTGTTTCTGCTCTGCTTCAGGGTCTAGGGGAGTCCCTCACGTCCCACAAGAATATGCAGGCTTGCCTACTCCCTGGGGCACCCAGGCAGGCTGGCAGATTGCCCAAGGAAGGCGTGGGCGGGGATGCCCCAACCCCTGCTCTCCACTAAGTGCCCGAGGAAACGCTTTGTCCTGCTGCCCAGGGTTGTTCTGATTGTTGCTCTCATTAGTCCTCAGCTCAGAACCTCCCCAGCTCCCCTCTGCCCCTGAACAGAACTCTCGTTCCTCACTCCAGCTTCCAGGTGTCCAATGACAGCCTCCCTCAGAGCCCATGGCATCAGATCATTCCCCATTCCCTTTTTACCTTGGTTAAAGGTAGGTTAGGTTTTCCCTGTGCCTGGAGCAGTATGTCAAAATCCAGCCCATCTACACAGGGCAGGTTACTTACAAATCACAAGGGGGCTGACCCTTCTCCACCCAGAGATCTAGGGTTGGCTGTGCATCAACCCACCATGAGCGGCGGAACAACCTGTTTGCCGTGGTGGATGTAAGGTGCACCGTGAACTACACAGTATTACTCATACCAGGTTCTTGCCAAGTATATGTAGCCGGGGTCTAATTGAGTCTGTAGATCTAACTCTGGTTTACAGGAAGAGCACAGGTTAGGGGAATGACTCGGATGATGTCACAAGAAAGCCATTTACATAAATTAAGAATGAGAACAGTGTATAAGACAATAGTCTTTTCCTAGCAGTTAAATCTCTTCTGTTGTGCTTTAATATCTTCAATACATCTGGGACCAGAAAAAAAAAAAAAAAAGACAACAATCTTGAAGCCCTTTAGAAAGTCAATGCCATGAAAAATGAGCAGGGGGTCGCTGTAGACCAAAAAGAAATACCATCTGCAAGGCATAAAGCTCAGACTGGATCCTGGTTCAAAAAATAAAAGTAAGAGAAGAGGAGAGAAGGAAAGGACACACAAAGAAGAAGGAGAGTAAAGAAGGTGAAGCTATAAAATACATCTAGGGGACAGTGGAGAAAATTAATTATTAACTGAATGTTACATGACGTATAGGAATTATTGTTAATTTTATTAGGTGGGATAATAGTATATTTATGTGAGAGAGAGTATCTTCATACTATGGAGATACATGCTGAAGGCTTTAGGGGCAAAGTTTCAGACACCTTTGAAATGGCTTGGCCAAAAAAACCCAAAAACCAAAAAACGAGAAGACAAAAACCCCTCCACAAATGAAGCAAATATGGAAATGCTAATCATTGACTTTAGGTTCCAGAGATATGAAAGATCTTTGTTGCATTCCTTCTTCTTTATTGTTTATCATTTTAAAAACTTATTTTTATTTCTTAATTTTTTTGGAGAAAGAGGGCTCGCACATGAGCAGGGACAGAGGGAGAATGAGAAAGAGAGAATCTCAAGCAGGCTCCACACCCGGCACAAAGCCTGATGGGGGGCTTGACCTCAGGACCCTGAGATCATGACCTGAGCTGAAATCAAGAGCCAGACGCTTAACTGACTGAGCCACCTGGACACCTCGGTTTAGAATTTTCAAGACAATAGCGTAAAAGAAAGAAAGCAAAAGTCTGCCCTTCTTTGGATCAAAACGTCATCTTCCACTCCTGCTTTCCTTGATTCCTGGATAAGAAGAAAGGCCTCTCTCCCTCTCCCAGGTCCACAGCCTCAGAGTCTCAGGTAGGACTTCTCTCTCCTGTTGAGCTGGGGTTCGTTAGAGCAAGAACCGATGTATCTGCCTTTGGGTCCCCGGTCCCACCATGGAGCCAGGCACACAGTGGGGCTTAATGGCAAACACTAATGGCCCCTGCAAGCTGGCACTGTGAAAGTCATTCCTTTTATGAATTCCCCCAGTGAGTGAGCTGGTGACGTGGCTATTAGCATCCCATTCTACAGATGGGGAAGCTGAGGCTCAGAGAGGTTAAATAACTTGCCAAAGTTGATTCTTCTAAGTGGTGGGATCATGTTTGCCTCCAGGTCTTGACTGATCTGAAAGCCTAGTTACCATGTCCAAACTGAATAATCTAAACTCAGTTCTTGATGCCTTGATAAGATAGTGTGGCTGACTGTTCCAATTTTGCAGGGGAGGGGCGTGGGGAGCTGGGCCGGAAGAGGGTAGGGGATGTCCCCAAGGGCTGAACAAGGAAAAGCAGAGCTGTACTTGGTGTTTTGACATCTTCTTGGCATCAACTCACTTCGTTCTCAGCCGTCCTCACAGCGGGGATGGAGGTCATGAGCTCAGACTCCAAGGCCAGCGGGCCGGGGCAAATTCAGGCTCCCCCACTTCTTGGCTGGCGATCCTCAGAAAATTACTTAACTCTTGTGTTCCTCAGTTTCCCCATCCATAAAACGGGCCATGATAGTGGTGTTTCGTTCACACGCCAGGTCATAGTGACTCGAGTTAATCACACAACGCACTTAAAATAGCGCCTGTCTGAGTAAGTGTGAACTCCGAGAGGTAGGGAAGCTGCCCAAAGTCACACAGCAGTGCCAGAGCCAGGACCATCGGATTCCAAAGCCCCTGCTTTCTGAACTTCTAGACTTCTTTGGAGCAGAGTCTGGGGCCAGAGGAACAAGGGTCTTAACCCTCCAAATCCCTGCCCGAGCTGGCTCTTGGCCTTCATGAAGTGCAGGGCTTCCCAGGACTTGTCCCTTGCCTCTCCAGCCTTCTCTTCCCTGCACGCCTTCCTCTCCCCAGCCCCTTCTGTCCCTTGTCCCTTCTTCTCCCACTTCTCCCCCTTCCCTTCCCTTCCCTTCCCTTCCCTTCCTCCCTCTCTTCTTTCTCCCCTTCCCTCTGCCCCCTTTTTCATCTGCTCCTGCCTCCATGGACAGAGCAGAAAGAACCTTGGACTGCAGGTGTTATCACATCTTGTCCCTCTCTGGGCCTCAGTTTTCCCAGATATAAGATGAGGGGCTGGACAACGGCAATGTGAAGGTCACCTGCTTTATATTTGCATGGGCTGGGACGGAATCCCTGAGCCTGAATACAACTGGCCAATGCCAGGGGTGTTCCTCCCCATCAAGAAGGAGTGTCCAGCCTCTCACCTCCATGCCCCAGTAGGTCTCCGGTGCTGGGTTAGAGAGGGAGCCTCTGGCCTTGGGGAGCTCTAAACCAGTTGGCTCCATAGCCTGGAGCAGTGGCATACAGGCACACTGGTTTCCGGCTGGCGTGTTGCCATAGACACCTAGATGGGAGTGGTGGGTTCATGGTTAACTCAGGCACTAGACTGGGCTAGGTGACAACTGAGTCTTCTGGAGTCTCAGGGATTGTGGCCACTGTCTTTGGGGAAGGCGGCCGTGAAAGCGGGCTGTGCTGTCTGTCGCAACCCCTGCAGGTGAATCCCCGGGTCTGGTGGGAACTGGCTGGTCTTGCCCGGTCTTGCGGTGGGGGGGCAGGGGGAACCTGATATCTGTAACAGGGAGAGGAGCTGAGAAGTCAGAGCTGCAAAGCTCTCCCTCCCCTGTGGGCGAGCCCAACTCCCTCCTGCACAGATGGGGAACTGAGGCCCCCAGGAGAGGCAGGACTTTCCCTAGGGTGCCTGTGGAGTCAAGGACAAATTGTGAGGCCCCGAGTGACCCAGGGTGGGGCTGGCAGTCCTGACATGCCTTGCAGGGGCCAGAGCAAGGGCTTGCTGTGGGTGCAAAGGTGGAAAGGAGAGGTAGAGGAGCTGGAGACCGGGAGGCCAGGGCTCTTTTCTGTGTCCTAAACTGTACACATCCCTGCGGGCCTTTAGTCTGTTCTCTGCCCTGGTGATCTGGATGACCTGAGGTGCCCCTACCCCCTCTCTGGGCCTCAGTTTCCCCATCTGTCCCTCTGAAATTGGGCCGGATCATTCTTCCAGCAAATGTTGACTGGATCGAGCCCCTACTGTTTTGCCAGGCTCCATGCTGGGCTCAGGGATACGTGGACGAATGAGGTCCCCCTAGGAGCTGGGGCTTCAAGGGGGAAAGGTTGGGGGGTCCTTCATGATGTGGGAGAGATACTTCTTCCAGACCAAAGGAGAGCTTGTCAGACCCAGACTCCAGGGTCCTGAGTCCCTCCCGGCTCACTGGCTGCCAGCACTCTCTATCCTGTCCTTTTGTTTTGTGGCTCACATAGGGCTACAGCCCCAGGTGCCAGCTCCCGAGGTAGGTGGCCCCCCCGCACATGCGGGGAGAGAAGGCTCTCTGAATGCTGTCAGGCCTGGTCCAGACTCCACCCCCCCACTCCCCCCACAGGCCTGAGCCCAGAGCCTGAGCTGGCTCCGTTCCTTGGCAACATCCTGAGGAATCCAGCCGCTGCACACTGACTCCCTTCCTTTCCCCTCCCACCCGCCTGCCTGCTGGAGGCGGAGGCAGAGGCAGCAAGCCCCATTATAAAAAGCCATTATAAAAAGCGACAGAGCGCAGGCAGCGAGGGGACAGCACTTAGCTCAGACACCGGCGGCCCGGCCCTGCCTGGACCCCTGCACGGACCTCAGCCCGCCCTGAACCATGGCTCCTCCACCCCTCTCGTGGCTGCTCCGCCTGGCTGCCCTTTGCCATCTGACCATGCTGCTGGCCGGTGAGTGGGGAGGACTCCTGCATGAGCTAGGTCGAGGAGCCTCCGGCCCCACTCCTGCCCTCCGGCCCGATGCCGGGGAGGGGGCCCCCAGACCCAACCTGGGTAAGGTCCACAGTAGGTCCTTCCGAAGAGTGTGGTGGAGGGGGCTGGGCTCTTCCCTGACCCCAGATTCAGGACTGCCCCTCCCGCTAGAAAGATTTCCAGTCTCCAGGGACTGCCCCCTGGCCCAGTGAGCAAGGCGGCTACTGCTTGGCAGCGCAAAGGGGTGGTGTGGGTGGCATAAGGGTGCCAGGCACAAAGGGGGTGTTGGGGGAGGGGGACCACGAAGGCTGAGGAGGCTCCTGCTGGGCACTGGGTGGGAGGCCCTGGCTGACAGTGGGCTGGGTCTCCCTTCCCGGGGTTAATGTGTAACCTGAAACCCTGACTCCTGAGTCTCAAGTCACAGTCAGGGTTTTCTCCTGCCCTGATTTCCAATAGGGGACCTAGGGCCAGTAGAGATCAAGGTCACTGCAGATCACGGATTGGGCTTGTTGCTGTTGCTCTGGTCTTATAGTCCCAGTCTCTCTGCCTGTACCTCGACCATGCTGCCGTCCTCCTCCTCCAAGCACAGCGCAGAAAATGCTTCACCTCCCAATACTGGCTCTCCAGAGCCCAGAACCTGTAGGGCAGGGTGCGTTCATCCCACTGACATGATTAAAATGGAGGCCCAGGGAGGTCTAGAAACCTGCCTGAGGACGCAGAGACAGCAAGGAGGGCAGGAGGGAGCCTGGCTGCATGCTCACCACCTCCGTGGGCCACATGGCCTCTGAGAACTCTTTGAGCGAAACCGTCTCGCATTTTGAGGCTCAGAGAGGCTTAGGAGCCTGCCTTGGGGCACACAGCAAGTCTGGGAGTATGAAAATTGTCTCAAGCTTCCAGGACCCCCCCATGGAACACACTGCCTTTTGAGTCCCTCTATGGGGTGGAAAACCAAGCAGCAGGCCAGCAAGCAGGTCGTGGGTGGGGGGCGGGGGTTGCAGAAGGGGCCAAGGGCTCCTGGGTCTGAACCCTGAAGCCAGAGGTATTTGGAGATAGCACTAAAAGACGGGGAGTCAGATGGAGGTTGCTTTGCCATAGCCGTGACCCTGAGTGGGGTCTTGCCTTCTTTGGTCCCAGGTGCTGCACATTTAAATATAGCCATTGCCGCTGGAGCGGTGGGGCTCCTGTGAAGGCATTTTGGAAGTAGGAGGAGAAGGATTACTTATAGGAAACCTGACGGTGGGTGCGGGGGAAAGGGTTTCTATGATAAGATGAAGAGGGGATGTTTGGGGGGACGGGGGGACCCCGGACACTCTGTGTATTAGTCTGAGGCTTTAGGATATCAGGTTTGTGCCCTAATCTTGGTCACTGACTTCACTGGAAGATACTTACACTATCTCAGCCTTTCTGAGCTTCAGTTTTTGCCTCCTCCTGCTGGCACTTGGCCAGGCCCACCTTGGAGGTCCTCCCCCACACTGTCCTTTGTGGCTCTGGGAGACCCCCTGGGAGCCCCTGCAGGAGGGGGCAGTCCCCAGCAAGGCCCCGGGGTGGTGGTGCGGGGGTGGGGGGGTGGGGGGGGCGGGGGTTCTAGCTGGTGCCCGGCGGCTGCGTCAGTCCCCAAATGTGGGCTTGCGGGGCTGTGTGAGGCGGGAGGCTCCTCTGCTTTATATAACCAGCCTGCAGAGACAAGTCAGAGCAGAGAATTTTCTCCCAGAGCAGTGACGCATTCACTCCTACTCAAGCCCCAGCAAGAAAGAGGGGAAAAAAAATCCGTTTTAAGCTACTGCAGTCTGCCCCCTGATCAGCCGTGGAGGCGGATGGGGAAGGCAGGGAAGGCGAACTTCATGAGCGTCCGATCCAGGCCCCCGTAGAATTTAAATAAAAATTCCTCTGTTCCTTCCTTGGTTATCATTTTACATGTCACAAAGCACTTCCTTGTGCATTTTGTTCATTCATTGAACAAATAGTGGACATATCAGCTACGTGCCTGGCACTGTTGGAGGGGCTGATGCGTCAAGATCCCAGACCTCAGAGTGTGGAGAACCAAGTGGGGAAGACAAGACAATACAGAAAATAAATTAGTAAATGATTTGGTCTTTTAGAAAAACAGGCTGTGGGGCGCCCGGGTGGCTCAGTCGTTTGGGTGACTGCCTTCGGCTCAGGTCACGATCCCGGGGTCCCGGGATCGGGTCCTGCATTAGGCTCCTTGCTCAGCGGTGAGCCTGCTTCTTCCTCTCCCTGTTGCTCCCCCTGTTTGTGCTCTCTCTCATTCTCTCTCTGACAAAGAAATAAAATCCTAAGAAGAAAAAGAAAGAAAGAACAGAAAAACAGGCTGTGATTTAAAAACAAAATGAATGGAGAGAGAAGGTTGTAGGGGGAGGTGTTGAGATTTTAAGTAAGGGTCAGGGAAGGCCCTCGGAGAAAGGGACATTGAGGGAGGCGAGGGAAGATCCTTGTGGCTATCTTGAAGGCAGTTGGTTTTCAGCGGGTGATTTGGCCTCTCAGGGGCATTTGGCAAATTTCTGGAGGCATTTTTGTTATTACAGATGTCCCATCAGTTTTGGTGGGGGGATGCTTAGAAACCTAGTGGGTAGAGCCCAGGGATTCTGCTAAACATCCGTCCTACAGTGCACAAGACAGTTCCCAGGACAAAGAATGATCTGGTCCAAAATGTCAATGGTGTTGCTGTCGAGTGAACCCTACTCAAAGGGTCCAGATATTTAAAAATCTTTATTCTCACAACCCCCCTGTGAAACAGATATTACCATGTCCATTTTACAGGTAAGGGAGCTGAGGCTCAGAGAATCTGAGTGACTTGTCCAGGACACACACCTGAGCAATGGCTAAAACCCTCTCTTTGTCACCTTGCTGAGAGACCCAGAACATTTTTGTCTTCTCCTGCCTGTAAGCCTCTTACCAGCCCTTGAAGTCCAGCCTAAAGGATTCTTCCTCCAAGAAGCCTCCCCTGATTATTTGCAGTGAGAAGTGGTCTCTCCCTTGTGCAGATCTCAGCACATTTGGGGGTCTATTCTGGAACATGGTATTTTTACCTGGTGTTTAGGGCTGTTTAGAACACTGGGATGCCTAGAGGCTGGGAGGAAAACAAAATCTGCCATTAAGCAGCTATGTGGCCTTGGGCAAGTCATTTATTTCTCTCTGATTTTCAGCTTCCGCATCAATTAAATTGAGGTAGCAATACTCCCTTTGCAAGGACGCTGGGAATTAATGAGAGCAGTTGTCCCTGTGCTAAGTATACAGTCCAGTACAAAGTAGATGCTCAATAAGATAAGCTCTGGTACTTTGTGGGTCTGTCTTGGCTGTCCTTCAGGCTGAGAGCTTCTGAGGGCAGAGACAGACCTCCATCTCATTATGCCTCATAGCACCCAGCACAGGCAAGAGGGAACATCAGCATTTATTGGTTGACAGAGTAAACACTGCAAGCTGATCGTGTTTATTGGGATTGAAGTATTCTCCCTAAGCTCAGCACCAATGGGAGAAAGATCTCAGGGTCAAGGACAAGAGAGCCTGGGTCTTTGTAGGTACACAAAGGTAATTCAGACAAGTGTTGGCTGAATTAGGAAAGGGATGGATGGATGGATGGTGGGATGGATGGATGGATGGATGGTTGGATGGACTGATGGATGGATGGATGGATGGACAGACCAATGGATGGATGGATGGATGTGGATGGATGCATAGATGGAGAGGTAGGTAAAGTGGTAAGTAGAATGAGACATTATTTCACTCAATGACTACTTGCTGAGTATCCACTTTGTGCTGGGAAGCACTGTGATACCAAGACTGACAAGGGCCCTGCCTTCCTGAAATTCATGTGACAGTAAATGGCTGGCTAGAGGCATTATTTCCAATTACAGAAAAGAAACTTCAGAAAAGAAAAACCCCCTCAGGTTAGTTACATCGCCCTTCCCCATGCAAAACCAAGAACAGAGACTGGCCAAAGGTATGCAGGCACCATGGCAGAGGGTGGGACTTTGGGGACAGGCTGCCTTTGTGGGTCTTTAAAGCCCTGCATGTGAGCAGTGGCCTTCCCCACCCTGAGACATAGAGTTGAGAGCGCAGACTGACCATGCCTAACCACCCCTTCTGCCCACTGGCAGCCTCCGCCGGCTCCAGATAGCCTAAAACTTCTGCAGACCAATCCAGGGGCGGCTTCCTGGCTCTATTCAGTAGGGCCAATGGGAGGGTGCAGCTGAGTCTTTCCAAAGTCCGTCCGGGGGAGAAGGCAGGTGAAAGGCAGCAAGGTAACTTTCATATACTGGTTCCTCAGAGAGAAAAGGCAGCCCGTGACTCAGGCACCAGGCACCAGAGTGCTTCTGCCTACCATGGGAGCTTCTAGAACTGCCCCTGATGGCCCAGATCTCAGAGATCCCTGCAGGCCCCGATCCCCCCTTCCATAGTCAGAGTGGGCTGAGGCTAAGAGGAAGCGAAGGCAGAGGAGATGGCACATTCTAGAAGGGGTGTGTGTGTGTGTGTGTGTGTGTGCGTGTGTGTGTGTGCTTGCACCTGTATTCAGGAAGGCAGAGCATGTTTGCACGTCCACATCCATGTAAATGCTTGTGCATGAGCCATAAGGATCAGTTGGGGCCTCCCAGGCCCTGCCTGGCTGGGGAAGATCATTTAGTTCTCTGGACTCCACCGCCCTGGAAGTCCTGGCCTCTAGAATTTTGCAAAACCCTCTGGGATCTTGCTTCTGCTGCTAAGACCTTGACCCAGAGCTGAAACTCAAGCTCTCCCTTATTTTTTACATACCCCTCTTGAGCTGACACCAAGTCGAATACATTTTGCTGGACATTTTAGGGGAGGGAGGAAGGAGGAAAAGCAATGCAAACAACTTCAGATGTTTATATGAAATATTTGGGTTCTTGGGGCACCTGGGTGGTTCAGCCTCTGACTCTTGATTTTGGCACAGGTCCTGATCTCAGGGTCGTGAGACTGAGCCCCTCATCAGGCTCAGCAGGGCATCTGCTTGAGATTTTTCTGCCTCTCCCTCTACTTGTTCTCTCTCTCTCTCTCTCTCTCTCTCTCACATAAATAAATAAATCTTTTTAAAAAATCTGGGTTCTCAACTGTCTGTTGAGTCACCCCCCCATCCTGTTCTGGGGTTTCTGTTGGCTCCGTGCCATCCTCAGGCCCCTAGCCATCCTCCTCTGCCCCCCACCCCGTGTACAAGCCCCATCTCCACCCCTCCTCCTGACCTCTGTCCCTCTAGCTTGCCCAGGGGACTCCAGATGGCCCCCTTGGTTCCCCTCAGCAACTGCTGCTAAACTCGTCTTGGCTCTCCCCGGCAGAATGGAGGATCCCCTGCTCAGCGGACTGCACCCTTAGCCCCCTCAGAAGGTGGCTGTACTTCCACATTTAATACTTTTTGTCTGTTCCTTATGCCTTATGTGGTTTTGGGGCGGGGGTGGAATACGTATGTGCTGTTCCGTTTGTTGGTGCATGTGGATGCATGGGGGCACATGACGTGTCTCAGAGGTCATGGAAATCCACAAATATCATCAGCCTGACAGGGAGGAAGGGGGTGTGTATGTGGTGGGCAGAGGGTTGGGGGGCGTGAGAGTTGAGAAGGTGACTTACTGGGGTAAAGGGAGGGTTGGGGGTGCATAGAGCCATGGGCCTAGAAGGGACCAGAGCACAGCCTGGTAGGAGAGCCCGTTCCCTCACTTGCTGGCTGTGTGACCTCGGGCAGATCCCTGTCCCTCTCAGGCTTGTCCTCCTTTCTGTACAACTGACCAACTATGACAACTTAATTTGAAAAATTAAACCCTCACTACTAACCAGACAGTAGAAGCTTCCTAAATAAGAATCCATTTTCGTTAATTTTTATAACATCCCTATGAGGTAGATACTCTCATGTACAGGTGGGGAAACTGAGGCATAAAGAGTTGTGGGGCTTTTTTTTTGTTTTGTTTTTGGAGGGGGTTGCTGAGGAGGGGGGCAGGGGAGCTGAGGTCAAGGGCCTTGAAGACCCAGGCTGTGCAAGGCAGCGGCCGTGGCTTGGATGGTGTGGCTGGCACGAGCTGGCCTGGGACTGGAAAGCCAGATGCCCCTGGACAGTCCTGCTGACTGGGGGCCTCTGTGGGCTCAGGACAGCACCATGGTGTGAAGAAATGCAACGTCACCTGCAACAAGATGACCTCGGAGATCCCCGTGGCCTTACTAGACCACTACCAGCGAAATCAAGAATCCTGCGGCAAGCCTGCCATCATGTAGGTACTGGCCTCTGGGCCTCTGCCAATCCCCGTCCACATCCTTCTTCCTCATCTGGGCTCCTGCCAAGGGCCTCAGCAAATTGCTCCTCTTGCTCCTGGCCTCCTGGCCCTTCACTGACCTTAATATCTGTCCCCCAGGGTAAAGGTTGGGAGCGGCTTCCTGAAAGGCCTGGGGCCTGGGGCAGCTACTGAGGGGGTGTGTTTCAGGTGACTGTCGAACCTGCTGGATTTCTTGGGGACGTCAAGCACGGTGGCCTTGGAGCACAGGCTCCAGACTCCAACCCATGTGGTGCAAATCCTGGCTTCATCACTTACAGGGGGCGGGGGTGGCTCTGTGGATGTTATCTACCCTCTGGGCCTTAGTTTCCTTATCTGTGAAATAGGTAGTTGGGAGGATGACAGGGGATGATGCAAATAAGCAGCTTGTCAGGGTGCCTGGGAGCTGTTGCAATAGGAAAGGCAGAGATTATTATCCACACTTGACAGTGGAGGAAACAGGATCCGTGTGAGACTTTGGGCTAATCTACAGACTGGCCTTCAGGCCTGTCATCTCATCAGGAAATGGCCGGCAGGTTCTCGAAGTACAGGGCTCAGCAAAGAAGTGTGCTTCATTCTACCCACGGTGCAGCTGCTAAGAGGGTTCAGGGGCTAGTACCCTGACCTCTCCTCTTGCCTGTTGAGGCTTGCTTCCCCCAGACTCCCCCACGTATTTGCTTCTGTTTTCTAGGTAAAGAGGAAGTGGGGAGCCCCAGGGAGGGGGCCGTCGCCTGGGCTACCCCTTGCCTCTGGGGGTCTGAAGGGTTATGCTTGCTTCCTGCCCTTCTCTGGCTTCCCCAGTGAACCAGAGCCATGCACCTTCACATGACCTCTCTGAGCCTCGGTTTTCTCATCTGTAAAATGGGGATGGTCGTGGTAGCCACCTCTCCCGGGTGGGAGGTTTAAACAGGCAAAATGCCTAACACAGCGGTGTGGAGCATAAGCTCCCGTCAGCTCAGAGCTGTGTTCCCGGCACAGAGCCAGCCACACACAGCTTCGGAAGAAACTCGAGATTTGGATGGCACTCGGGGTCCCAGGGGGACCCCCATAGATGTGGCCGGAGCTCACTCAGTGTGCTTTTGGCCTGAGGATACACACTAAGAGGTAGAGGTCCCGCGGGCAGCCTATAACTGAGGGAGTGGGAAAGAGGACATTTAAGTCAGTTCCTTCCAGAGAAAAGACCCCCCCCCCTCCACCCCGCCTGCTCCCGACCCTGAGCTCACCAGTCACACACCTGCCAGCAGGGAGCACCAGTGGATAGCTCCCCCCAGTCAGAAGACACAGGCCAGAGCCCCCTGCCTTATGGTAAAGACATTATTATTAACATTATTATCATTTTTGGCTGTTACTCTGAGCCAGATGCTTTACAGAATATTTTTTTTTTTTACAATAACACTGAAGTGGGATGACCAGCTTGCCCCAGTTTTCTGGGACTTTCACAAGACATCCTATATCTTGAGGATCCCCTCCACCCCGCTCAGTCCCAGCTCTTCTGGGGAGGCTGGTCACCCTACAGGAGGTAGGTATGCGATCTTGATTTCTCAGGTGAGGACACCCAAGTTGGAGGAGGCAAGCAGCCGGAGCTAACCAGCTCACAGCTCACAGCTCCTGAGTGGTGGGAGCAGGTTTCCAGCTGGGTCTGTTCTCTGGCAGAGTGTTATATATGGCGCTTCTACTCCACGTGGCATCTGGGCATCACTGGGTCCCTGTTTTCCTTCCTTGTAGCCTGAGGACGAAAAAGAACAGAATCTTCTGTGCCGATCCAGAGGCGGAATGGGTTCGGAGAGCCATAACACATCTAGATCGCCAGACTTCTGCTCCGATCCAAGATGGCGGCAGGTTCGCGATGCAGATCGGTGGGGGTGAGACCAGGACCACCACGGCCACCGTGGGAATGGACAGTCCTGCAGTCACAGAGCCCAAAGCCACCCAGGAAAACAGTGGCCAGGAGACACAGAGCGCCTCGGGGACTTCCCCAGAGCTGCCAGCGGGAGTGGCTGATTCCTGGGGGACCAGGTTCCCCTCCACTCCCAAGGCTCCAAATGGAGGAGCACCAGCTGGGTCCCAGAAAACTGAGTTTTTCAACGCTGTTGCCCTCACCACCGCAACATCCTGGCAGAGTTCCACTGCCTACAAGCCCAGGTCAGGCCTCTGGACTGAGGGAAAGGCCTCTGAGGCCCTCCCCACCCAGACCTCCCCCACCCAGGCCTCCCCCACCCCGGCCTCCTCCACCCCGGCCCCCTCCACCCAGGCCCCCTCCACCCAGGCCCCCCCCACCCAGGCCCCCTCCACCCAGACCCTCCTTACCCAGGATCCCCCTGCCCACGTCCCCACCGTTTCACACAGAGCCTCAGAGGACAGCGTTGGCCCTGAAAGCCAACCTGCGTGGATCACGGGAGACGATCCCACGCCAGAGAACCCTCTAGAGCCTGAGGAGATGGGTCCTATTTCAGCTCACACAGATGATTTTGGGGGGCCTGAAGGCACTCCCCGTTTCTCCACAGTCCCCATCTCCTCTCAAGGGGTTCCCAGTAGGGAGCCAGTAGTCTCCGGTAGCTGGACCCCCAAGGCAGAGGAGCCCATCCATGCCACCATGGACCCCCAGAGGCTGGGTGTCCTCATCACTCCTGTCCCCGACTCGCAGGCAGCTACCCGGAGACAGGCGGTAGGGCTGCTGGCCTTCCTCGGCCTCCTCTTCTGCCTGGGGGTGGCCATGTTTGCCTACCAGAGCCTCCAGGGCTGCCCCCGCAAGCTGGCAGGGGACATGGTGGAGGGGCTTCGCTATGTCCCCCGGAGCTGTGGCAGCAATTCCTATGTCCTGGTGCCGGTGTGAGCTGCCCACCTGCCTGCCTCCAGTTGTTCGACTCAGACAGCTGCCTGGGGTCCCCCGTCCTCACACCCACTGGTCCCCAAGGGCCTGACCTGAGCTGGGATGATTGGAGCAAGGAGGCAGGATCTTCTACATGCGATGGCTCCCGGCTCCCGGGCATAGCCCAGGAGGCCCCTCTTGACCACTGTTGACCCCCTGGGGACAGAAGTGGTGGCCTGTGCAACTCAACCCCAATGTCCCCAAGTCAGGAAACTTCTGCTGCTGGCTGGTGAGAGGTTCCCTTTGACACCGTCCCAGACCCGATGAGCAATTATTTATTGGAAAATGCCCAGCCCCTCTGGTACGTCCCCAGGTGGCCCACGGTCACCCCATCTCACAAATGAGCCTCAGGCCAGGCCCCCTCTGCCCACTCCCTCAGACCTCCTCATGTCTCTTGGTCCCGCTGCAGTCGCCAGTCACCCCGGCAACCTGCGGTGCTATCTCCCCCCGTCCCCTGTACAGAGCCCACACCCAGCCGGGGACCTGTCTTTTCTTGCATGAGCCTAGTGTGGTGTTCCCTGGGACGGCTCCTGGGAAGACTCTGCCCTCCGTTAGGCATTGTGGGAAGGGGACATGAAGTGACCTGGTGGCTTGGGTGGGTTTTCTTCTCCCCAGCCAATGCCATGCATTGGCGGAACCTCGGCTGTGCGCGTCTGAAGGCTGGGGTTCTCGTGCCCAGTTTGCCACCAACCCAGCAAAGCATTCGTACCTCTGCTTTCCCGTCTGCAGAAGGAAAGAGACTTGGCAAATGTGTGACAGTAACCTGTACCCTGACGGTCCTCACTCACTGCTCTAGACCCGGTTTCCCACACCCGGGTTGTAGTCTCACAAAAGAACACCTTAGCCTGTCTTCACCCATTGGGGAGCCTGACACGTTGGTGGGCCCTGTGCCTTGCTGGGGGTGGGGGGGAACGAGGGGTATGCACGGAAGGGATCTGAAAGCGCAGGTCCTGCTCTGTGGGAGGGAGTCAGTTCCGTGGGCACCCCCTGAGTGGGGACTGGGGTGGAGGGTGCTTGAGGGGCAGGCCCATGCCCAGTTTGGAGAGCAGCCCTCCCAGCATCCACCAGGCTCGCAGGGACCTGAGAACAGTGGGACAAGTGACATGGGACAGGCTGAGGAGGAGGGAGGACCCTCAAGGCACCAGGAAGGCTGAGGTGCTCAGGGGGAAAGGCCCCCGGGGGGTGGGGAGGCAGCAGGAAGCAGCCCCATGCCCGAGTCAGGGCATGGGCCCCCTGTTTGCTGTTTCTTTCCTGTGACCTGGCTTCCCCTTCCCCATCTCTCGCTCTCTGCAAACACTGCTGTCCCCATTCCAGGATCTTCCCTCACCTTCCTGCCCACCACAGGCAGGGCCAGGAATTTCCAGGACATTTTTCCACGAGATCAGAATGCACCACTGAAACCTGAGGTTTCATGTTTACCTCTGAAAGACACGTCATCCTCAGGGGAGGGAAGTTGTGGGCACAGAGTCAGGGTTCCCTTTTTGGCTGCTGGCCTCACCCCTCAGGGTCCCTGGGGGCAGCACCCCACCTTCCTCCGTGGTCCCCGTGGGTGACCCTTGCCCTCCTCCACACGGGGAGCCTCCCACAGGCCAGGGTGGGTGACACTCCACAGAGAGATGCTTAGAGGAAGCAGACACAGCTCTGGTCCACAGAGGGGGGCAGCCACGTGGGTCCTCCCTGCCCTCCTGCACCCCCTACTGGGCATGACCTGGGATTTCGAGGCCTGGCTCTAGTGGGGGCCACTTCCGACAGCTCAGAGGGCTGACAGCAGGTCTGAATGCACTTTTTTGGGCTCCTTGAGGTTGGTGGGAGAGCCTTCAAGGGGTGGGGCCCCCATGATGGGGTTCCTCTACTTTTCGTGAGAAAGCAGCTGGGAGCAGCTAGTCCCCCTTCCACGGATTTGATTAGTTCCCCCAAGCAGGACATGGACATGGACAATTTGGGGGGGAGCTTTGGAAGGAGTTGGTTGATCCTTTTGCTTTTCCAACCCTATCACCAATGTCTGTGCCATTTTGTATTTTACTAATAAAATGGAAAAGTCTTGTGAATCAAATAACGTAGATTTTTCTGAGGCAGGCTCAGCAACGGGAGCCTCAGGGGTAATGGAACAAGGAGGGGCCAAGAATCTCTGGTGCAGCCTGCCTGGGGCCAAGTGGTGGGAACTTCTACAGTAAGCAGGAGAAGCAGCACTGGGGATGGGGTGAGGAGGATTGAGCCCCTGGCCTGGCTCTGTTTGGCCCAGCTGTGTGACACTGAACAGGGCCTTTCTCTCTCTGAGCTGTGTAAAATCAGATGTGAGGTTTCTCCTAGTGGATCCCACCCCTTACAGGAATCAGAATCTGGTATGAAGCCACCCCTGCCCTTCCCCATACCTTCTAAAGCACCATCTCAGGGGCCTTGGTATCACCATTAGCGATCTGATGACCCATGGGAGCAAACTGAGCCACATTGTCCTCTTTGCTGCCTTGACTCACTGCTGGTGCAGATAAAGATTGAAAAGGGATTATTTCTCAAGGGGCTTGGGTGTTCATAGATATGACCCAAACACCCAAACACTAACCTCCTGGTGGTCCCCAAGTCCTCCAGTGTCCCAGGGTGGCATCCTAAGAGCTGCTATGTACAGTTGTGCAGGTTGGGAACTGCACCAGGGGGCACAGGCAAGTCCAGGCTCTTATTACAGTATTTCATGGATCCAAAGGTGTGCATTTTTTCCACATTGGGATATCTTTGGGATTGGGATTTATCTAACAATCAAAGGCTTGTCATAATTTAATCAAAAGTGTGGGGCCCCAAGCAGCAGCTGCCTCTGGAGATGGGGCCAGCTGGGGGTGAGACCGCCGTCCTTTAGCATCCCCTCCACCCCTTCATGCTCCTGGAGCCTATGGCCATGTGAGGTGCCATTTATGATCACCCTTCTCTCGTTTGTCTTGGAGCAAGGATATTTTTGTCTCAGTCCGAGTCTCCACTAAAAGTAGGACAAGGGAAAACAGTTCACGATGGGCACATGACTTTGCTTCTACCCTGCTGGCTTCCTCCTTCATTTTACTACCTGCCAAACCCCATAGACACGTGGGTTTGAGGTTCCTTCGGGAGTCTGAGTTTGCTGCCCTTGCGTAAGCTGTAAATTCTAGTATTTTCCTTAGCAGCAAGCCACAGCTCTCCCCATGCCCCCTCCAACCCATTTCCTCCTGCTTTTGCCCATTTCCACCCCCAACGAGGAGCTCAGAGATGAGGTCACAGGCCTCCAGCTTCTCCCCAATTCCCCTGGAACACCACCAGAGGTTTTACAGTGAAATTATGTGTCTCTCCTTGTTGATTTTTTAAATCTCATCCTTAAGTTTTGTATTCCTCATGCTCCGCAAGAGGATGGAAAGTGGGAGAAACCTGTATGTGGGCTCAGGTCAGGGCAGTTCCCCAGGGATCCTGGAGTGGTCCATGTTCTCTTGCTTACAGGGAGCCACGTTCCAGCCCAGGTGATGCCGATTCACGTAGAATTTGCCGAAGACTCAGAAACATTCATCTGGGCTGTTGGGTCTCTGACCTGCCATCGGCAATCAGCACCATCGGCGGATAATAATAGTCAAGGCTTATTTAACGTTTACCCCGTGCCTGGCAGTGCGCTACGTTCTTTGCCTAGGACGTCCCCATCTTAGCGGTGAAGAAAGTAAGGCTCTCGAAGCTCACGTGATTTGCCCAGGGTCACAGAGCAGAGATGGCAGATGGGATATGACCTGGAGTCTTTCTCTAACACTTGGATTTTTTTTTTTTTAAGACTTTACTTATTTATTTGACAGAGAAAGATGGAACACAAGCAAGAGGAGGGAGAGAGGGAGAAGCAGGCTTCCCACTGAGCAGGGAGCCCCAGGCTCCATCCCAGGACCCCGAGATCATGACCTGAGCCAAAATCAAGAGTCAGACACCTAACAACTGACGATTGAGCGCCCCCATCCGCCGCACCCTGCAGCACTTGAATCTTAGCCATTGTTGCTGAAGTTATGAGCCACAGATTTTTTTTTTTAAGATTTTATTTATCTATTTGACAGAGAGAGAGAGATCACAATTAGGCAGAGAGGCAGGCAGAGAGAGAGGGGGAAGCAGGCTCACTGCTGAGCAGAGAGCCCAAAGTGGGGCTCGAGGCTCCTTCCCAGGATCCTGAGATTATGACCTGAGTAGAAGGCAGAGGCTTAACCCACTGAGCCACCCAGGCACCCCAAGCCACAGATTCTTAAAAGTATAGATGCCCGATCCCACTTCAGAGCTACTGCACCCAGACTCCAGGGGTGGGAGGGCTGGGGGTCTGCACGTTCAGGCTGCTGTCCCTGCCCCCACCCCCTTTCCTCTCCAGCCTACCCTCCTTTGCCTGGCACTGTCCTCCAAATTAGGGATTTGGCATGTAGCACACCCCCCTACCCCTGACACCTCTGCACCAGGCCCACTCACTCCATCCCCCACAAGGCTTGCAGGGTCCTGTGGGCAGAAGCTACCTACAGACTCCTCACTCTCTGCCCTTTCTTTACCACAAGTCCCCTTCCCTCCCCTGTGTCCTCTGTACATTCCCCGAATGGGTGAGGCCAGGCAGAAAAACAAAGAAATGAATGGCCGGGAATTTCCAGGGTGAGGCAGAATAATGGGGCCTGGTAACTGCTCCTCTGTGTGTGTGTGTGTGTGTGTGTGTGTGTGTGTGTTTGCACCGTGTGTGTGTGCCCTGCTGTTCCTATGTGTGCAGGAGCTAAGGGGACCAGCACTCATGTCCCATTCAATTCTGCTTAGTCATATGCTTTCCTGGAGAAAGAATGTTACAGCTGTTGGGATTTAAGAAAAGATCTAGCGCCAGGCTGACTCTCTTAAACTGACTGCAACTTCAGTGGTTGGACCCATGGGCAATCTTAATCTCCCCAAACTGGTGGAAGAGATACGCCTTTCTTAAATTCAAGGGATTTCTTGCCCCCAAAGGATGGAGGAGAATTATTTGCAATGAGCATCTTGGATTTTTGCTTGTTTGTTTTGTTTTGTTTGTTTGTTTGTTTTACCTATACAGGAGCAGAATATAGCATGGAGATTTCTGGCTGTGTGATTTTGGGCAAGTTGCTTAACCTCTCTGGGCTGTTTTCTCCATGGCCCATAGTGAGCTGTCAGTAAAAAGAACCTATGATCACGTGGTAGGTGTTTCCATAGGGTTTGAAACATCCTATTTCTATTCACTTTTGTTATTGGAGACCCAAGCAAGACTGTGGAATTATAAGATACCTGCAAAGAAAAGTAGTCTTCTTGGTTTTCAGGAGAGAGTAAGGTGAAGAAATGTTATGGTGCCATTAAGAAGATAAGAGTAATTTATAATTTGCATGTTTTTTTCCCCCTAAACTATATAGATGACTTTCAAGTTGAGGTAGCTTTTCTCCTACAAATTGTTTTTGAACTTGACGAGGTCAAAACTCATGAATCCCAATTAACTGATACCAGACTAGCAAGACATCCGATCTCACACTTGGAAAGAAAGAGAAGTTAGTGAGTTTCAAGTCTGTGGGCCTGGGGTTGTCCCTCTCCCTGCATATTTTTGGCTGGCTACCCGCTGGGCACAGGGGAGGGCTGTTCTTCCTGCCTCTTTAGGGTGCATGGGCCCACATGACCCGTTTTGGCCAGTGAGCTGGGAGGGGAGGTCATGCGTATCACTAGACTCAAACATTGAATTGCTGAGAAACTCTCCAGAACTTTTAATCCTTCTGGCTCGACCTTTCCAGCTTTCCAGAAAGTGACCGCTTCATTACCTTGGGTCTCAGAGTGATGAAAAGCTTCCCCTGACCTCTGTGGAAGAAACAAACCTTTGTGGTTTTAAGCCTAGGGAAAGTTTGAGGTC